ATGTCATCATCATCCCTCTCTTTTATCTTTGTCATCCCCCGGCCTCGGCTCTAACGAAAGCAGATTGCAAGTTTCCCCGTTCCGTGCTGATCTTTTTTAATAAAGAGGCGGTGATCAAAGCCAGAGGGCATATCGCTGAAGCCAGAAATAGCTTTACTTCTGTGGCCAGTTTAGGAAAAAAGAAAAAAAAAACATGCATTAAATATGTAAACAGAGTAAATTTTTAAAGCGCTGAGAAAGGCTGACAAGGCAAGAGTGTCTTGGGGGAGTGAGAGCAACACACAGGTAAAGACAAGGTCAACTGCAGAGTAACACACTCTTCTGCACAATCGCAGCATTTCTTTGACTATAGACTGGGATATCTGAGGGTGGGTGCTCGCACATGCACGATTCAGCCTGTCATGTTTAAAAGTGGATACAGACACAAACCTGGAAAACAGGATTCCTGTGTAAAATACAGACTTCTCCGTTTAGCTTGAACAGATGGTTAACCTCGGCATCAACTGGAGGGTGAAATTAAAATGAACCCTAAGTGAACTGTACCCTTCATCGGTTTTCATAGACTTGTATCCCTTTAAGTATTTACCAGGGCCTTTGTTTTGTAGTTCGGGGGATGAAACGTCTCTGCTGGCTCATCTGTTCTGCTCACGTGTCGGTCCTTTCTGTTGTATGTGAGGATGTTGGCCTGCTTTGAATAATATAAAAGCACAAAGGAGCAAACCTTGACTACTGTACGTGTCAGTCCCCCCCTCACACACACACACACACACACACAAACACATATTTAGACAGCCACAATTGTAAAATAGCTCACGAGAAACACACTTTCTGGGGCTCACAACCTCAACAGCTGCGTGTACATGTTGCACAAGCCTTTACACTTGCTTGCCTCTGGACATCTCTAAGTGCGTACATGGATGTACACTACGCTCGTGTGTGCAGACTTTGAGCTCCGCTGGAGACTCCAGCCTCCCTCTGGGTCCTGGCCCCGGCTCCAGGCTTCGGCGGGGGAGTGAAAGGATTACTTCCGTCTATGTCTTTTAAACAGCCTTCCCTAAGCCTTTTAGGCCCCCCATTCATTCTCCACATCCTCCCCAGTCATAAAGAAATCAATCTGTCTCCACCAAAAAAAAATGCCACAGAAGAGGAAAGAGAGACAAAACGGCGCATCACGATGCTGTAAATTAAATTTCACAGCCGCTGTTCTGCTGTCGTGTATGCCCCGCTTGTTTGCTCGTGCGTGTATTCACTCTTCCTAATCTTCAGAAACTGTGGAGACTGTGACCTGGTGGAACCAGCTGTGTTGGGAGGGAGTGAGGGCAGAGCGAACTGGGCGGACAATTTGAGAGGGAAAGAGGCGGTTGAGATCAGTATGCACTCCGCACAGTCCCCCTAATAAGTTTTCATTCTCCCTGACGGAGCCAGTTTCCCCTTTTAGAAGCCCGTGGCAGCATCACATTATCGCCTCTTTAATCACAGAGCAGCCAGGTGCTCACGCAACAATCAACGTCCTATTAACCCGTCGCCTCAACTGGTTGGAAATGTATTTTCAGGTTCATAGAGGATGTCGGACTGTATTTAGCTTGTGTCAGCAGGATTACGGCCTGTCTGTCACCCAATCATGTTTCTGCCAACACCCATTTGTTATTTCCCCTGCGTGCACGCGGGGTGTAATGTAAAACACACAGAATCACTTTTTTTTAATTTATTTTTTAATCTCCTATTGTGTATGCTTGTTTTCTAATTCTCTCTCTCTCTCTCTTTCCATTATCTTGTCCTCTTCAGTAAACCCTTCCCCATCGGAGACAGAGTGACGTTCAGCGGAAAGGACTGCGTGTGCCAGCAGTGCTCCCGCACACTCGTCAAGCCAAATGAACCGATCAAGATCCACGGGCCCAGCCGTAAGTCCAGCGGCCGCCTCGCTCTGTCCTCTCTGTTTAGGGGCCACCAGGCGCTACAGCGAGCCGAGTCTAATGCGATGTGTCCACGAGGCCCATTTAGCTCATTTAGCTAATCGAGTGTCTGTCGAATCAGTGGTCCGACCTGTCGCGCTGATCCGCCAGCTGAGAATTATGCCACGCAAACAGACACATCATTCATTCATTACTGTCAACACTGAACATGCAGAGAATAGAGGATTTTATGTTGGTCACTGTACACCTGGCACACATTCCTACATAAGTACAGTATATGCATATATAATGTGTGTTGTCAGACAGGTATATGTGGGAAGAGTGCCCGCCCCTAACCCTTTCAGAATAAAGCAGGTAAACGATAAATTAGGATGCCACATCAGAGCAATAGTGATTGATAGTGAATCATTTGTTAAGTGTGGCACACAGACAGCAGGCTGCCGCTCACTGGCTGTGCAGCAATAACAGATGGCGGAGCGGCAGTGAATAACTGTCCTCCCCAGATCGCTCCATTCAGGAGAATGAAATCCAAACGGCTCCCCAGGTACCTGTTCATCACTCCGTCTTATGAGGAGGCAGTGTATGAGACGGGGCACAGAGTGCAGACACTAAATGTAATGCACTGTCTTTTACAGCCTGTTCCTCTATCATCTAAGAATGCAAATATATACTCCGTGTGCAACCATTTAGCCAGGACAAAATGATTATTTTTAGGAGAAAAGGCTCAGAAAGCAATAACTGACCACACGATAAATCCGCAGCCTCTGAGAACTGCCGCGTCAGGGCACGGTGCTGTTATGCACGGCCGTTCACTGTGTTTAACTTCATTAAAAATCCTAAAAATGATTTCAGGCTGCTACAGTATAACCATACAGACCTCTACTCATGCCATACTGGTCGGTTATAACTCAATATTCTGCTTTTTTTGTGATGGAAACATTGGGTTACCAGGACTCATCGTAGCCTCAGTTCCGACTGTACTTGTCAACCTTTTCAACATTAATTACTTACCTATGTGACCATGTATAAAGTCAGACATCTTAGATCATTATTGCTAAAATAGTGTTGATCAGAATCTTCCTGTATAATAGTTTCACCAAATCAATGTCTTTATTTTCGGTAACTACCTGATGAAAAAGAAAACTCCACCCGTCTTTGTGTGTAGATTTGTGCCGACAGCTGTTTCAGAGCCATTAGACCAGTGATGTGACTGAGAGAGAGTACTTAGGTGTGCAGTATTTCAGTAGAGGGGGAAAGGGAGAGGAACATGCCACCCAAAATGCTTAATAGCTATTTACAGACTGAGCTAAAAGGCAGCAGAAGCCTAAATCTCCTTCACAATAATCGGGAAGGCAAACTCATTTAAATATGTAGTAGTTGAGATCAGTGTATATGATGGAATAGTGGCATTAAAATGGGCCAGAGTCCAAATTTAGACTTTTATAGCCAACATTCTTCTCAAAGAGGGTATGGACCCCCCTAGCTGGCTACTTTTTACTTCTGGCTCCTTATTCTTGTGGAAAGCCCTGATTACTGTACACAGCCTGTACTCGTTAGGAGACAGCTGAAGATAAAATCATGAAGCATCTAAAAGATAAACACACTCATATCAAAACTAGTCATTAGTGATTAACCAGCAATCCAAAGCAGTCTGGGTCAACATGGGCAACATGGAAAGTAAGAAATGTTGTTTTCTGATGAAAACAGAGGCAGAGGCAGTTTTCTTTTTCTGTCACTTCGTGTGAATTTCTTCGTCTATAACTATTTCATGTCACAAGCTCTGGTACCCACATTTTTAGACGTTCGATACCACTTTAATTTGTTGGCTATAGAAAGGAAACTGTACCGTGACTCAGAGGAACATCAGCTGTGCGCGGCCACTGCCTGGGGCTGGAATCCCGGGCCCTGTATAGACTCAGCACTATCGCCACCAAGTGACAGTTGAGATTTATTTGGACTGCAGAAACCCAACTCAGTACACTGCAGTCTCTTTGACTGCGAAACGCAGTTTGCCTTGGCCGACAGGGCAGAGTGGAGCGGTCCCCTGTGACTCCAGGCGTCTCTCAGGGGGCAGTAGACCAGGTCAGAAAAGGTTAACCCTCGGCCAACAGTCTTCCAAATGGAAACAAATGGAGCTTCTTTTTTTTTTAGCTTTTTCTCCCTCTGCAGCCATGCATCATTTATAGTCTCTGCGCTGTCCTGCTTCTCTCTTTCCCTGGTAGTAGTGGTCAATAACACTTGCTGTGGCGTCCTAACCGGAATTATTGCAGTCTGCTGGTATACAGCGTGCTGGTTTTGGCGTGAGAGAGAGAAACAGGCAGAGTCTCATACATGTCTCATGTGAGAGGGGGGGTTTATGCACCTGGTTTGGCCCTGAGGCTATTTCAGTGATTCTTGCTTCCTGCCGGCTTTTAATCATGTTTAACAGTGCTTACAGTTGAGAGAACAAGCCTCACAGCTCTGCAATATCCCGCATTAGTACGGCTATTGATTAAGAAGGTGGCTGTGCCAAATGGGTAGAAAACTACACTCACAAGCACAGTGGGTATTTAAAGATGCACAATTAAACCCTGACTCACTTTGTCTCTTCCTTTAATTCTCTCCTCTCTCCACTTCTTTTCTCCCATCCTTCCCTCTTCCTCCTTTGCCCTCCTCCTTTCTCTCCTCTCTCGCCGCTAACCTTTTCACAGACTGTGCTGGGTGTAGAGCCGAGATCAAGCAGGGTCAGTCCCTCCTGGCTTTGGAGAAGCAGTGGCACGTCAGCTGCTTCAGATGTCGGACCTGCAACATGGTCCTCACGGGAGAGTACATCAGCAAGTGAGTGTGTAGGAAGAAACCTCAACATTTCAGAGTATGTGATTGTCACGTCTCGCTCAGATGAGACGTACAAGTGGACACACTGGATTCTTTTTTATATCCAGTTGCTCCCCAGCTCTCGAGGCTACGCTGTGTGCATTTAACACGCTACAGCGTTTTTTTCCTTTTTTTATTCTCCCATGTTGCAGGGATGGAGTGCCATACTGTGAGGCAGATTACCACGCCCAGTACGGGGTGAAATGTGAGACCTGCAGCAGATACATCAGTGGAAGGGTTCTGGAGGTGAGAACGGGACCAGGTTTCAATGCGAGACGTCGCTAACAGAGATTTCCAGCCGGGCAGAATTCTGCAGCGACACAGAAATCCAAATTGGGAGTGCAATCGGCGTTATCGCAGTTGAGCAGTTGCGTTTTATCCTCGTCTCCGTTTAAGCCCCGCTGTGCTTTAGGGAGTGAGCGACTTAAGATTGGCGGCTGATAAAAATGTTGTGCTGCTCTACTCAACCAAACAACTTCAGCTGCAGTGCCCGGTCATACATTAGTGCACATCCACTTTCTCACATTTACTTTTGGAAGCCTATAACCTGCGCTAACAGGAGGCAAAAAGCTAGATTGAATCATAACTTCGTCTAAGGGGTTGAGAGAGAAAGGGAGTTATAAAAAGATCAGAGGGTAAAGAGCAAAGGGAAAAGAGGGAAGGAGGAAAGACCCAGACGGCAAATTCGGCAGTGATAGAAATGTGTGCTTTGCGTGCTCTTACGCTGAAGCACTTTTACAAAGAGATGGAGGAGTGGAGTCAACAGTGGCGAGAGGTGAGCAGAGGAGAAGGAGCTGAGGCGGACAGAGGAAGACAGAGGTGAAGGGAAAATAATGAAAGTGATCATGTGCACATGCTAATTAAATGTTTTGGAGTCTCTGGAGGGTGGCTCTTGTCTGTCGCGGCCTAAGGAAAGGGAACACAACTTTGTCGGACACATGCACATACACACACACACACACACACACACACACACACACAGGGCCTTGTTGTCCCTGTGCTCCTTTGCTTGTCAGTTTGGCTAATGTAAAGTGTTTTGTTCCTGACTGTCAGCCTCTCTGGGCTATTTATAGATATGGGGACATGTCAGCCTTTATCTATGATTCTCCTCTCTCTCTCTCTCTCTCTCTCTCTCTCTCGCTCTCTGATCATTTCTGTGTGCACATTTGTTTCTCTCTCCTGTCAAATTTTAAATTTCATAATGATTTGCATCTTTAAGGACTGATATGACGACGAAGATTCCAAGAAATACCTCCCCAAACATACAGTTGTCATTTAGGATATCTATAACAGATGCTTTCCATCTGGGTGTTTGGCAATGTGGCCCCTGATTTTAATTTTGTTTTAGTTTTTGTAAAGAAATCTTAGTAAAATGCCAACAAAAAGTTAAAGGAAAATGAGGGTATATCAACCTATTATATTTCCAAAAAATGTGTCCATTGTGACTCTATTGGTTTAGCTAACTTTGCACTCACAACCTCAATTATATAGAGATTCTGGGAAATGAGGACTCTTGCTAAACAAAGTATATCGGAGCAAGCTGTGCAAGCAACGTAACATGTTTTTTACATGACTTAAATCAAAAGCTTGTCTCTGAATCCAACTGAAAGAAAAGCCAGAAAGTAGCACCATGGTTTCTGTTGTAAAACAAAAAGTCAACACATTTTAATTATAGTTAATTATAATAAATGATCTACTTACCTGTAAGTAAAATAACATTTCATTATGATGTTGGTGGAGTCTCCTTCATTGAAAACCCAGACTGATCTGTGTTTGTGGTCCACAGAGCCCCTCTTCAGTCCAACTTCCCAGAGCCAGTGGTTGTTAGTTTTAATGAATAGTTTAGAATGGATGGAGAAGGGGAGAAATAAAGACAGGAAGCGGAAGAAAGAGGAACATAAAGCCTCCTTTCTTTGGTTTCACTTCTCTCCGTTTCCTTCCTTCCTCTGTGTTTCAGCTCGCCAATAAATATAGTAGCCTATAAATGCCACCGGAGAGAATGGGGGCCTCATTAGAAATGGAAACAGCAGTTTCTGAACTGATACCATACGGCCAGAGAGGGTAAGCGCCCCGTTGCTCGGAAAGCTCGGGGCCTAAATGCTGCATTGTCTCCTGGCTTTCCTTTCAGAGTAACCTGAGACAGACAAGGAGAGCAGGGATCGGTTCAAATGCCTCTCAGATACAATCAGTTTAATAAAAAGGGGGAAACAGTCAATGCAGCACAAAATGACATAATACCCCACCACACACACACACACACACACTCAAACACTCAAGCTATAGGCGTGTTCGGGTGAAACAGTTCAGGTCTCCTCGACACCGGCCACATGTCAGTGGTGCTTCTATAAATATAAATTCTCTTAATGGCGTGTCAGAGGGGACGGGACGGGGCCACACCTCAGCCGCCGGCCCACATGGAGACACATTTGGGGAACATCAGGGGACCGTGAACTGGACTGCATTAATGGACGGAGCCAGCACGGTGACATCGCACTGCATCATTTCATTTGTCCATTTCGCCTGTTCGGATGTTTCCCCCCGGGACGCTTTGTACGTCCAAGGACATGTATCCCACTCTTGTGTCCTTCACTTACATGGCCACCTACTTCCCTCTGTCTCTCTATCTCGTACACACACACACACACACACTCCAACACTTCATGTGACTTACCTACAGGGATCTTTGCTCTAATTATGATATGGAGGATAATGGGTGGTGGATATCATGAGATATCTGTATGCTGATGATGAACTACAGGCCATGCAACAATGTCTCAGCACATTATGATAGTGGCATATTGGTGGTCAGGTGATGTACAGGAGAAAACATGGCGGTAATGACCTGCTCATTTGTAGATTAGCCCCTCACTCTGAGAAACTCTTTATGATCATTTATGTTCAGACACACATCTTCTGCTTCTTCCCTCCTCTTCCTCTCCTCCTCACAGGCGGGAGGGAAACACTACCATCCGACCTGTGCTCGATGCTCCCGCTGTAACACGATGTTCAAAGAGGGAGAGGAAATGTACCTGACAGGTGAAACTCGACACCGACACATTGCGCACACACACACACACAGAGCACTTGCCCAGACGGTCGCGTGGAATGTGCGAGCACCCAGCGCCAATCTGTCTTCTCTTCTTCTCTCGCTCTTCTTCAGGATGTGAGGTGTGGCACCCATTATGCAAGCAGGCAGCGAGGGCAGAGAGGAGACTCAGGGTGAGAGAGAGTTTGAAATGAAAATGGAAAGATAAAAGGAAAATTGTCATTTCCTCACCCTCTTCTTTTATTCCTTTGTCTGTTTGTACCTCACAGCATAGACGTCTGTCGGAGGCCTCCATCTCTCCACCGGGCTCCTCCATAGGCTCTCCCAGTAGGGTTATATGCGTAAGTAGCCTATAACTTCGAAGCTTTAAGTCATTTACAGCTGCCAACGCCCCCGAGCTTACCCTAAAAGCACAATTTCCACACCGGAAACACAAGCACTATACCCACAGGCTTGAATGGTAAAGCGTCGACCTCACTCCCTCGGCCTGTTCGCTTGTCTGTGTCCTAGTGATGTGGCAGGAGTTACAAAGTGAGGAAATTATCTTGGTTGTTTAAAACGAGGATGAATTTGGAAGAAAAACTAAAACATATTAGCCTTGTGGCTACGATGGATGGCATAAAATGTTCCCCCGGCATTCATGGTCCCCAGGGGATGAACCCTTGAGTTTCCAATAAGCGCCACCAGCAGGTCAGCGTTCTCAAACATCAAGTGAAATATATTAACAAGATGTATTGGAGCAATTTTTTATAAAGACATTTATGGGCCCAAGGTAATGTATCCTACCACCTTTCGTGATCCCCTGACGTTTCTGTAGAGCCTCCAGGAGGTTGACAGTTTTCATCTTGAGTGAAATGTCAAAAAAATTATTCGATAAATGGCCATGAAACTTTACCTCACAGTACCGCTGTACCTACTGTACCTACAGTACATACCTCACAGAGCCACTCGCATGAGTGTGAACTCTCTAGGTTACAAAGCAGGTATTCCCAAAAGTCAAGCCACATTACAGTGAGATTAAATTTGAAAGAAACAGTTAAATGTAACCGAGACATTTCAAAGAATTTCATATTTCAAGTAAATTCATCCCAGTTTCTTAACTAGACACCTAAACAGGTTTTAATGTGCGAGTCACCAAATCAGTCCTCTATATTGTATACAGAGAGAGAGAGGCGAGTTGGTGAACCTACCAGGTTTATGTGAAGGTTGTCACTTTGTGCTTTGCAGAGTTGGACCAGTTCCATTTGAAAACGAGCCTTCAGCCATATGGAACGGTGTCCAACTGTGCTGCTTGGCAGTCTGCTGAGTGCTGCTGCATGTCGGCAGGATTTGCACGTTAAGGGATGTCTGCATGCAAGCAAGAGTCACCGCTCTCTGCTCAGCCCTGCCCCAAACTGCACTTGTCTCACAATCAATAACCTTTCTGTTTAAGGTGATGGATGAGGGAGAAGTGCAGTGTAAGCACGCTTGTCGAACATACTGTCTCCTCTCTCTCTCTTTCTTACACATGCTGAGCACCTGAAGGTCAACACCTTACACTGCTGTCAGGTTCTGCAGTGTACATGTGTACTTTTGATGAGCACGCACACACATGTACATGCGCAAGCTTGCATGTGCTTCATCAGCTGTTTTTCACCCCTCTCACCCCTGCATGATCGGCTCACCGGTGCGTCACTGGTGCAGTTTCCATTCTACTGTGTTACTGTGCATTGTCCATGTGGTTGATGTTGGGTCTTGTTGCTGTTGTCTCTGTCTTTGGTGGGTGTATGTGTGTGTCCTCTCTCCAGGCCAGAGTGAAGACTCAGTTCCTAGATTATAAGGACCTAGCTGCCCTGCCAAAGGTCAAGGCCATATACGAGGTCCAACAGCCAAACCTCATATCCTCCTCATACCAGCCGTACCACAGATACACCTCTGATGACAGGCTAGAAACTTACAGCTATGGGGAGGTACTACTGCCACACACTCCAGGCCAAACTTAGCTTTGGTCTCATCGTCGGTCTGTATTCAGGAGAAACACTTTGTTTGGTTTTTAAATTGAGTTTTACTGATAAGTGTGTCTTCATTACAACTCATATAGTATTTATAGGGATCATTATTTACTTCTTTTTTTTTTTCAAAAAAAATTTAAATGGATTTTGTGTGATTCAGAAATTGGAAATTAGATTTTTGTTTTTTTACTTACAAGGAGGATTTTTTTTTTTTTAACATACAGATAAGAACTATTTTTGGACCAAACTTATTTTTAAAACCTGGGAACTTTCAGTGAAACGTATTGGTTTATTTTACAACCTACAGTCGTATCAGTTTCTGGTAAATGTCTTTCCACAAAGGAATAGTTTGACATTTTGGGAAATACACTCAGTTAGATGAGAAAACAGGCAATTAGCTAAGATTAGCATAAAGCCTATTGAAACAGAGGGAGACAGCTAGCCTGGCTCTGTCCAAAGTTTAATAAATCTACCTAACAGCACCTCTAAAGCTCACAAACCAAGCCAAACCAAGAATTAGTTCAAACCAACCACAGCTTGATATTTTTACATCTCGGCTTGTGTATGAATAAAACAAGAGAGATATGAATAGTTAATTAGAGTGGTATCCATCTTCTCATCTAACTTCGCAGGAATACCAATATGCTCAGATCCCAAAAATGCCAAACTATTCCTTTAACTGACATTTAATTATATTAAACAAACACGATGTGGCTTATAGTCATCACTTTGCCCCATGCAGAAAACCCCACCAGTCACCCATGTGGGATAAAACAAAGCATACAGATTGAATTTGAAAAGACTGTCTGGTCTTTCCTTGTGGTCCTGTAAATACATGATACATGATATATTGTTTTGGTTTCAGCACATTGCTACATTATAAATGCTCACTCTTCTCTCTCCACTGATTCTCCAGTCACTCGGGACACTCTCTCCCTATTCTCAGGTAAGCATTCTTCCTAGCAGAGCACATGAGACGAGTTTAAACAAGTGAACTGTTCTCACTTTGACCTGTCAGTAAGTTATTTGTCTCCTCGTTGCCCGCTTGCTCTTTTTTTTTCACCTCTACCTCGTCTCCTCTCTCTCGTCAGGACTACGACAGCCTGGATATAAAGCAGAGGCGGTGCTCCAGTCCAGGTTATATTGACTCGCCGACGTACAGTCGTCAAGGCATGTCACCCATCATGCCTCGCTCTCCGCAGCACTATGCCTACCCTGGTGAGTCAGATGGTATTCACTCCCAAGTTGTCTGCTTATACTCTCAGAGTTTGATATCAGCATGCAGATTTTTTGTCATGAAGTCAATCATGCAGAACTTAATGAACTTAGTTTTGGGAATGATTCTACTAAAGTTGACTCGTTTAAAGGAGTCGTTCAACATTTTTGGGGAGTATTTCCTATTTGCTCTCTTGCTCATGTTGAGATATGAGGGTCGATACCGCTCTTATGTGTGTCGGTTCAGTGTGCAGATACAGCCAACAGTCAGTTAGCTTAGCTTAGCTTTGCATAAAGAGTGGAGCTTCGGTGAGTTACTGCTTCATGGCCAATAATTCATCCCCCACCAAGCACCTTATAAAACGGCAAATTAACGTTTTTACTTACTTCGGTTTTTGAACGAATTGTGGAAAGGTTAGCTATTTCCCAGTTTCCAGTCTTTATGCTAAGTTAAGCTAACTGACTTCTGGTAAACTTCACATTCAGCGTACAGACATGAGAGTGTCTTCTCATCTAACGCTCAGCAAGGAAACAAATAAACGTTTTTTCCCCCAAAATGTTGAATTATTCCTTTAAGAGAGATCAAATTGCCTGTCATTCCCATTTGCATGTCATCACCACTCTTATATATTAACAAATAAGCCAACATGGAATTTCTGTGGTGACAAAAGATAAACAGATTTGCCGCCTTAGGGCAGAATCTCTTTCACTGCACTCCAAAATAGTTGTCTGACTATCTCATATGCTGCAGTTGCTCCTTGGCTGTCATTTCATTCGACTCTTACACCTGTGCATTGACACTGCAATTACTGTCACAGGAAGACAAGTCAACAACCTCTGTCACTACACAAGTGGAATAGTTATCCAGTGTCCCTTTGTAATTTGAATGAACGCTGTTTGGTTTTCATCTGCATGGATGAGACTTGCGTTGAGGCCTTCCTTCATTCTCATGTTTCCTTTGCTGTGATTGGCTGTGGCTGGCTGCAGGCTCTGAGAGTGGCAGGAGTTCACCTTGTTACGGCCAAGAGGGGCGGTCAAGCACACCCACCACAAACCAGCCCCCTAAACATTTTCATGTACCAGGTAGGATTCCCCATCTCCTCATCGCACTACTCACAATCTCATAGATGTTTTACCCCATGGGGAAGATTTCATCATTCCCTGGTGCAAATCCTTCATTTTAAGTTCGGGAACCAGAGTTTGTGGAAAATGTGACCAAGTCGTATTTTGAACCAATTTTAACCACCATCCCCTTCGTACCTCCACCTCGTCCCCCTTCCGATCACCCCGACAGAAACTCACATCCTCGCCTCCTTCACTCCTCCACGTTTCACCTCTCCATCTCCTCTTTCTCTCCTCAGCCACAGGGGACCCCAACATCTACAAGAAGCCTCCCATCTATACGAGAACGGGTACAGTGCAGTTAGCCACGCCTTAGACTGCCTGTCCTGCTGTCAGTTTAGTTATGCTGTGTTTGAGTACTCGGTGTAGATGTTTTTACTGACCTATTGATGTTATTAATGAGTGATTAATATTGATGCTCCGGTCGTCGTCGAGAATGAAGCCACCAATAACCAAAAGATTGACTCTGCGCTTCACAATGCACAAAATTGAAGATAAAGATCAATTAGACGCATTGCATTTATAATTGGCTGAATGCCTATGAGCAACGCTTTAATGTGCATGCCACTAACACGTGCCTGCTCCTGCGTGCAGCTCCCCGCAGCAGGACAGGTTCTTGTCTGCAAATGGGGCTGGAAGAGACCCTGAATGAAGGGAAGGTTGCTCAGGCGTGACAAGTGTTGAGTACATGGGACTCTGAGGACACACAAGTCACCAGAATAGAACAGAACAGTGGAACAAAGCACAGTGGGGGGGGGGAAAAGAAATGTATTATAACTGGAATTTATGTTTGTTTGGAGACTCAGTATCGCCTAGTTAACCAGTGGTCAGTGTGTGATTTAAGGAAGGGTTGCTGTAACTGTAACGGTTTGAATGCAGGGACAGCTGTTTTTTGGAGGAAAACACATGTGAGTATGTGAGAGGGAAGTCTTATTTCTTAATTGTGCGGATCTATGCTGTCAAGTAACACAGCAACGCGGTTAACTCAAGATGCTATCTTTTCGCCTTTATTACAAGTCATTAAACTGAAAAGCTCTTCCGCCATCCTTGACACATCGCGACCATCACAAGACTTAAGACCTCTTCTTGATAGTGGATAGGTTCGATCTTCGTCGTCCTGCATGTTCTTCTGTACTGTACGTGGTGGTATTCGTGGGGTTAACTGTGTCGACCCGTGTATAGACACTTCCACCCCTATATGTTTCCTCAGTTATAATTAGTACATCGCAGGCCATGATGTTCCCACAACACGTTTGCCTATGAAGAAAAAAGAAAACGGCAATTTAAAAAAATCTTTGAGCTTGTTAGAATATGGAAAATCTGCACACACTTCAGTCGCATTGATCCTTCTCATACTTTATGTCTTCCTTAACAGCTATTGATTCTTATTCTCTCTTGTTTCAGCACTTAACAGGATTGACATATATCCAGAGCCTCAACAGACACACGTGATGTTGCTGTGTGCATTGAAGGCCTGTTATGTACTACTCAGTTAACCAGTTTGCTACCTATAAAAAAAAAAAAGATCAGATCCCTGTTTGTTGGCCTTTTCCCTGTTCTCCGTATTGCTAGCAAAGCTCTCACACTGTCACATCTCCGATGGGGACGCTCCAATAATGTGTCCCTTTTCCTTTCACCTCTTTTTTTTATTGCATCCAATCGCTTTTATTCACTTCCCTCCACCCTCTGCTTCACTTTCTCCGGTGACCTTGCCACTGTAAGTACCTCTCTCCTCTCGCTGTTTCACTCGCAGTCGGTAGATAGATATGTCTGTCGTGTGTGCGTGGGTCTGTTTCTCTCTTTCTGTATTTGCCCTCCCATGTCAATTCTGTACAGCCATACTTCCTCTGACAGAAGGTCCAATCTGCGTGTGTGTGTGTGTGTGTGTGTGAGCAGTAACTGAACTCTCTTGATTTTTCATGCTGTTGGCTGAGATATGGATCTCCTCTGACAGGAAAGCAGGATATAATGACTGTGAATATGAAGCGTAAATGTACTCTGGCTGTAAATCGTTGTGATATTCATGTACACGTTTCCCTCCTTAAAGGGATGGTTTAACATTTTGGGAAATAGTTTATTCACATTCTCTCATGTCTGTATTCAATTTGAAGCCGGAGCCGGGAGACGGTTAACTCAGCTGAGCTTAGAATTAAAAAGTCATAGACATATTTCCCGAAATGTCAAACTATTTCTTTGACATAATTCCCACTTGCTGTGGTTCGGTCTGTTTTTTTTTCTCCCCTAACCTATCCATCTTTTCACAGACAATCATGTGGACGCAGCCACCAAAAGCAGGACCAGCGAGGACATCCTCAGATCCTCCAGACTGTCCACCTACTCTCCGGAGCCATACACGCAGTCAGAGTCTGACTACTACCCTTACACCAGCTCCCCCAGGGGTACGAAACAGGGTCATTTCACTGAGTTTAGACTGGCAAGCTGCGTAGTAAGCTGTATTGTTTTGATTTTCCACTGGACCGAACACAGACATAGAAGTCAGTTCCTTTTGTAACTGTGTTGTCGTATTTATTCACTCACCCACCGCGTTCCACAATGAGCTCTATGGACACGTGAGGGGAATCTCTTTTATCTGTTTTGTCTCTCAGCCTATCGGGTGCCGAGAAGACGCTTCTCGACGGGAGGAGATGAAGAGACTTGGAGTCACAGTCTTCAAAGAGTAAGAGCGTCGTTATTTTCTTTCTCTCTTTCTTCAACATTTGGTTGAAGAAAAGTCACCTCCTTAAGAAACACCCATAAGTAATGCACTTCTTATGGTATGGTGCCTGTTAACCGTCCTCCTGTTATTCGTTTGCTTCTCTCTCCATCTTGCATTCACTGTACATTAAATTAGCAGTTTTCTCTTACGCCTCTTTCCTTTTTTTTTTTTCTTCTCCCTCTTCTGACTCTTTCGTCGCTCCCCCTCAGATCGGGAGTGGCATCGGGAGGTTGATCCTAAAGGAGGAGATGAAAGCAAGATCTGGTTCCTATGACAACGACCCCTGGGGCAGTGCGAGGAATTCTCGTAGTGGGAGCAAGGAAACACTCAACACTACAGGCTACGGCACCACGGCATACAACAACACTGTCAACGGGTGTAAGGATCCGCCCTGCCACCCCCCTCCCTATGCATCCCCCTCTTTGTCTCTTCTTCTTTCTGTTCCTGCAAGTTCATGCCTGTGCTGCCATGTCTTTGTACCTCCCTGTGTGGTCATATGTGCTGCTGCCGCGACGGCTTTTTATGAGCCTCAATATCTGCTGTTGCTGTTGGTTTGGAGTGACGGCAGTGAGGTTGTGGCTGCAGGTCAGAGAGGGTCACGGCTGCTGCAGGCATTATAGAGATGGAAAGACAGCTGAACAGCTGCTGCTGCTGCTGCTGCTGCTGGCCTACCACAGGTTCAGCAGATGTGGCCTGTCATTGTTGTGGGGACATCTGATCGCACTGAGTCTGAACATTTCAAGGAGAGAATAGTGTTCAACCAGGTGTGCCAGATGTGATGATCTGAAGCTACCAGAAGAGTTAGTGTTTGGAAGGACCAAGCTTTACTGGTCATGCAGCGTATTGGGACACTCAGAGACCAGTCTGTCTCCATCACCATCCTAATAGATCCCCTCCTTCTTTTCAGTTCCCTGCTCTGTCTCTGCCTTGCTTGTCTTGCCTCTCTCTCTCTCTCTCTCTCTCTATCATCAGGATAACTCTCCATCCCTCTGTCTATCCATCCATCTATCTGTGTGCCTATCTCACCCTCCCGCTCTCACAGCTGGTGTCCCATATCCTGGTTTATTTATGAGCAGTAAAATCTCTCATTAAAGCTGTTTCTCAGATGGGAGGGGACACAACTGAAAGGGACTCTGTTGGCTCCGGTTGAAAGACAACAAAAGGCTTGTCACCATACAAGCTGTGTTTTGCGATTAGACGGTGGAGCGTGCAGTGTGTCTTTGTGCTCGTATGTTGTTTTTACATTTTTTGTTTACCCCCTTCTTCAGTCCTGCCTGGCCTATTTCTATTGCCCCTTTGATGTTTTGTGTTCCTTCCAAGGCTTGATGGGTACCCACCAACTTGCTCCTTTTTTCTTTTTTGATAAAGTATGATACAAATTTAGAGCAGGGCAGATTACAATTGCTGCAGCATTTGTGTTTTTGTGCAATAAGTGAGATGTCATGTGACTATGTGATCTCTTTATTCCTCAGCTCCAAGATCTCAGTGCAGCGCTGATAGTGGTGAGTTTGCCCATAATATTTCATAATTGTTCCAAAATGATGTCGGCTTCATGCAGACCACCTCAGTTCTGGGTTTTTAAAGGGGTATTTAAATAGTAACTGTTTTTACGTGTAGATTTTGAATTAAGATTTGCATTGGATCATAAATGAGGTGCTTGCGCTGCATTCAGTGACCTTACATCAACAAAGCTCCAGTATTATGTGCACACATCTGGAACTGTAGGATTTATTTGGGTTAGTCGGGAGCGCCCTCTTCTGGCACTGACCTGGCACTGATTTCCAAAGTTCCAAATTACATGAAAATAACAGGAAATTTAAGAAACTGTTGGCTTGACTGACTGATTTTACTACTGCTTTCTTTTTAGATTTTGTTTGCAAGTCCGCCTCGCTACCAGGATACGGACGCAACGGCATCCAGAGGGTGAGGCCACAGTACACGAGACACAACACCGTGATTAGCTGTATTAATTATATAGGCTTGATGGGTCTGACATCTTTAATACGGCATCTGTATTGCTAGGGCTGTTGTTATTCCCTTATCTTATTGTATATGTTTACATATCTCAGACTAAAACTATGCCAGTATGTCTATATGTTTAAGTCGCTGTTCCTCTCTACACCTGCAGCCTCAGAGTGCTGATTGCTACCAGTACCAGTATGACAGTGGCAGCGAGGTCAATTGGGGAAGCAGAGGTAATTTAATATGGATTTAAAACACCTACCACTTATTTGAGTGAAGCAATTAATTTAATGTTTTTTTTTTCTACTGTACTGACTTCATTTTATTTCTTCCCTCCCAGCAGAATACAAGGTAAGGTTTTAAATGACTCACTTGAATAATTCATTCCATGTGGGTTGTTGAATATTCCCAGTGTTGTTGTAACTAAGTGTCCAACGTTTGACGACACACGCTGCCTCTTCCTCTCTGCAGATTTACCCCTATGAGGCGCTCATTGTCACCACTAGGGGCCGCAACAGGCTGCCCAAAGATGCAGACAGAGCCAGGCTGGAGGTGAGTTATGAATGGGCCCTCAGGCTAACTGTGCTGGGAATATGTTGCCTCTGGTCTAGTTAAAAACAAGCGGTGTAGCCAGGATTTTAGAAATACAAAGGCTATGCCCGCAGCAGAAGAGACTCTGTAAAACCCAACCAAACTCTGTCGAATATTCTGAGGTTTTAAAACAATATATTCATTGAAATGTTCACTTATTATTTACTTAATAGTATGTAGGAATGTGTTGTTTGGGTACAGGTATGAAGTGATAACTGTGTGTCGTCTCTATATCTTTGTGTTCTCAGCGTCACTTGTCCCCAGAGGAGTTCCTGCAAGTGTTTGGCATGACTGTGGAGGATTTTGACCGGCTGGCTCTGTGGAAGAGGAACGAGATGAAGAAACAGGCCCGACTGTTTTAACAAGTTATGGACGTCCGTTGAACGCTGCCATAACCAGAGCGAGAGACTTCGCGGACTGTCGGAGGTGAAGAAAGAGATATTAAGACTTCTGCTCAGTTTCACTGCCATCGCTGAGAACCTGTTCTAGATCTCCTCGTATGACCAACCAAACTCTGGTCCCGCCAGAGATACAGAGGGGAGGCCACAGAGACATCATGCACAGATGGACTGATAAACTGTTACATGGCTGTCAGTGCAACTGTGGCAGTTTGCTGGAGTGATGTGTAAGCAATAGAGAGTGTAGTACATTAGTGATGTGCTTTTATTAAGCCTGAAGGGACAGGGGGAAGGCATCACTGTGCCGCCGCTATAAGGCCACATGTGTGGGATGTCTGTGACCAGAGCCGCAGTACTAAAACATAAAGAGGAGAATTTCGGCTTTGCCTTATTTGTTATGCTCTCTTAGTTATGAGTGTGCAGCACCAGCAATCTTAATGAGTAGAATGTAGATACTGTATATCGTTCATGACACTTTATCAGTGAGAATGATTAGATGAGAAGAAGGAGTGAGTGAGCATACAGCATCACTTTGCTTTGGTTTATAAGGATGCATTTTGTTTACCTGTTCTCTGTTTTGGCTCTGTCACCTGAAATACTGTGTCCCTCTGGTTTACACTCGTATAGAATGAAACATGTAACAATCGGAGGTGGGCACAACTTCTTTTTTTTTTTTTCAATTGTATGCGTGACCCGCGTTGATTTGTGTGCAAATTAAAACCAAAGTGAGAATGCAGATATACAGGTTAGCAGATCACTTCCATGTAATGTTCCGGTTAAATAGTTAAAGGTCACCAGTAGATGCAGTTCACTGTGCAGCTGTATCGTTACCTAAAATAATGTGCAATTCAGTAGATTGAATAGATAAAGGAAACACAGATTCAGTCCTCCTGCTCCATGTTTTCCAGCTCATTGCAATAGAATGATGACTAAATGTTTTGGGATGAGCACTAGTCATCCATACATTTACACTCACAATTATTGATACTCTTTAAGAATGATAATCCAATAATTTTGTAGCTACAGAGATTATATTCACTCACAATGAAACACTCTGCAAGGTATTTCACATACTGACAAAGAGCCAGGGTTGTTGAAGACTTTACTTCCTTTGAATACTGTTAATTTTGTCACTAAAAATTAAACTTGAAACTAATTCAGTCTCTTTCTTTTGTTATTTGGAGTTAGGAACCATCCACTTGTAAATCTTTTTTAAAGGAATTGTTTGACATTTTTTTTTACGAATTACAAGACGTATTCGCTATGATGTATGTTTTTATGTTTGTATACTATAAATTAAGCTATACATTAGTGAGCTTTATGAATGCTGCTAGGTGTATATTTCATTTTGTTTGGACATAGCCTTGTCTCATTGTTTCCAGTATTTCTTTAAGCTAACCCGCTAACCTGGCTACAGCTTGCTAATTTTCACATTTACTGTACAGACTTGTATTACGCTTCCCACCGGCATTAAAGCGAATAAGCACACTCCTAATTAACTTAAGGAACCATTTCACCTGTTTAGCTCTGAGCTGTACAAGGCAGCTCATTGTGTAGCGGGCGCTAGGACCCAGCGGAGAAACCACCTCTGGGTTCCCGACCAGCGGATCGGTAGAGTGCCGACTGTATCTGTCAGCGGTGGCTCCACACACACACACATTCACTCCTTCATGGGCCCGCATTCAAATTTCAACAACTCACTCTAAGATGGACAGCGTCAAAAGAGGAATGGAAACAAACGGCAGCAAATGTAAGTCTACTTCCTCGAAGTGCTGAATACTTTGTTTTGCGTTACTTTGTGCGGTTTTGCAAAGGTGCATTTCACACGTGCATGTTTGTGTTATGTCTTAATTGGTCATTTTTTTGCGGCTGTCAAAACGGTATGGTCGTCCAACACACCTACCACGTCTGTATGCCTCCTTCTTCCTCACACCTATGACTGCTGCACCCTCACTGAGGCTCCCTAACATTTGAGACATATGAGACAATTGCTGGAAAAACGTTCATCTAATCGTTACATTTTTATTTAAATATCTGCAACATTTGCACTGAATTTGTTGTCATAGTGCATTTCCATTCTTTAGAATCATCAATCAGTTTGTCTGAGACGTTTCCTTTTCCCTGTGACCCCCCCTCCTGTTGTACATCTAACACACAATGGTGGTGCACTTTAAACATAAATAACGATGCTTTGTTCTGCTTGGAGAGGCAGAGAACCAAGTGCTCATCCAAAGTTTGATTGTTGATGTAGAGAGTGAAGCTCACTCATCCTGAGTCAAGTCAAATATCTGGCTGTGGAGATGAGAGACATTTGGAGATGAGGTGGTCATGGCTGTCATTGTTTGATATTGGACACCGCCAGCAGGGAATTCTCCATAGAAATCTCTGCTTTTTGTGTTGAGTAGCAAGAAATACAACATGTGTTTCCGCCCCATGTGTGTTTTTCTTCTTCTGGGAGGAGTGCAGTTGCCCCCCCCCCTGCACAGTACAACATTTTTCCACATTGTGACTAAAAACAAATACACTTGCCTCCCTTGTGTTATGTTAGAAGTAACAGCATTACCAGGGCAAGGTGACCCAACCCAGCATTTCAAACATGAAGTTATGATTTCAGTTCATAGTTGCTTTAAGTTAGTTTGATGTGTTTTTACAATTCAGCTGATGTGGCCCAATCGTGTTTCCGCTTTTAGAGCTGTAGAGGCTTAAGAGTGCTTTTCACAGACTTGTTGACAGCCGCCAGGCAGGTAAACATGTGAGAGTGATTATAACATCCAACTTAATGGAGGTGAAAGGAAATGGGACAAACCGCATACATGGTGCTTTATTATTTTTCTTTCCAGTACCTTTTAACAGCCGCTTTGCCTTCAAGAAAAACATTTTTTTTATGTCACTTCTGCCTGCCCATAATTGACTAATTTGCCGTCCGTCCTCACCTTGTCAGTGTATGTGCATGTTACCAGTGTGTTTGGTGTGTAGCTTTGCAAAGCATCCAAAGTAGGAAGTCTTTTTAGGTCTTGTGTGTGTGTGTGTGTGTGTGTGTGTGTGTGTGTGTGTGTGTGTGT